ATATAAATAATGTTAATTAATAACATGTTAGCCTTACCCGACTGAGAAAACGAACTGTTAGGTTTCAGGTTCAGTTTAATGCAATTGCATATAATACTATGATACTATTAAAATATTATAATCGGCTATATTTTAAAATACAATTGTATTTTTTTATATATATTTTTTAATTAATTAAAAGTACGTTTTTATATTTTCCATTTTCATTTTTATTTTAGTTTGTTTAGTAATTTTGTTGTGTTTTTGTCATTATTATTATTATTCGTTTTTTTATATTTTATTTTACATTGCATTTATTCAATTATTTTAATTTACATATTATATTTTTATTACATATTCATATATATTTATGAACTGTGTATTATTCTTGGAGCAAGAGTTTAGTGAGCTGTTAGCTTAACGTTTGTGTTGACCTGACCTTCATTGGAGTAAATATTAAAACTCCCACAACCCTACATAGGACAAGCAGTTTGGAAATTGAATGGATGGATGGATGGAAATATTTGAAATAAACATGCCAACGCAACTTAGCACATCTTTCACAAACTAAACCAACCTTGACTGAACTCTTGAAAAGCACCTTTGCTTCTGTTGCCTAAGGCAACAGAAACAACCCACACACCCACAAAAAAAAATTTAAAAAAACATTCCGTACGCTTCTGCTGCATGATCACACTCCTGAAACATGTATGTTTATTCAGAACAATGTCTTCAGACATACTCAACAGAACTTTTAATCCAAAAGAGAGAGAGAGAGAGAGAGAGAGAGAGAGAGAGAGAGAGAGAGAAAATCACTCAAATTGCAATTGCTGTCAAAAATGGCTAAGAAATTGAAATGGAAAGCAAACAGAAAAGTTTGCTTCAGTTTCCCAGATGTTTCTCAAGCAAAAATACTCAAATGTGTCTCCTCTTAATTTGATAGCTCTGTTCACTTCCTGTTGCACGTTTTCAGCACGTTTATGTCTATTCGCATTTCTCTGAAGATATTTTATACGAAACATAAGATAGATGGTGATATTTCAATTAAATATACTTAATTATACTTAAAATCTTAATTAAGATTAATTAAAATCTTAATTGAGTCTCCTGAGCTCTGAAAGAACAACCTTTGAGCAATAAAATCCTCTTCTGGAGATGAACATTCACATCCTTACTGAAACCAAAGAGCCAAAAACATATTTTAATGCAAATATGTAAACACAACACTTGGAACTGTTGCAGATACATACGTCTGTGTGTGTTTTAGTATCACTGAGATTCCATTAGAGTTTTTATAATTATTTTGCAAAGGTTTTTATTTTTATAGTTTATATTGTCATTTTAATTTTAGTTAAAGTTTTAGTAATTTTTAAGTAGTATTTGTCTATAAAGTTTTTATTAATTTTTATTTCTATAGTAAATCAAGTTAACCTAAATTAAATGTTGCCATACAATAAAATACATTACAATACAAAATACAAGTTAAATAATAATAATAATAATAATAATAATAATAATAAATATTAAATAAGTGTCTGGTTAGTTAATGCAACTGATGTTAACAAATGAGACCTAATTGTAAAGTATTACCATAAATACTATAATAGCCTAAAAACAATACTGAATTAACCCTGAGTAACTAGCTGTAAAAAGTTGCATAGCTTGCATAGCTAAAAGCATCAGATTCTATGCATATGTTATGGGCCTTAAAACATGGCTCTCTAGACCAAGATTCACCAAATTGTCCTTTCTTTCAGCACATTTCCAATGCTGCAGTACTGTACTCCCACATGCAGGTTCACTCAGACCTTTACTGCAATTCGCTCTAATTGAACGGCATCTGAGGACAAGAGCCAGTGAGAGCTACAGTGACAGTTTAACCCTCCAGCCGAGATGCTGGCTCCATAACAATCATCTTAGCTACGGTTGGCCCACCACCGCCGTACCACACTCAGCACACACGCATGCACACACACGCTCATGCACACACAGACACACACACACAGACAGGCACAGGCACAGGCACAGGCACAGGCACACACGCACACACGCACACACACACACACACACACACACACACACACACGAGAGAGACAGGTAATAAAGACACATGCCCGTCAGATACTTACAACAATTTTCAAGGGCACAGATTCGGCTGGACTGCAGATCTCAAATGTTCATAAAGATTATACAACACTGCTGCTAATAATGGGTTTGTCCCAATATTAAGTGCTGTGAAATTTGGGTGACAGATTGATGATCTGTAATTGAGAATCTGAAGATTCAAAGTTTCTATTAATGAGTCGGAAATTCGTAATTACGACATCAGGTGTGTTCAATAGATTGATCGGAGCAAGATTTTTGTAGACGTTTTATACAAAAAAAAATGTCAGCAAGATTTTAAAACTGTTAGTGTGGTTTTGCTTTGTTTTTATTCAATTTATGAAGGTGTCATGTATTGAATCGTTATATATTCATAATTGTACAATACTACTGGATTTTGCTCATGCAACTTATTATTATTATTATTATTATTAAAAATAATAATTTCATCCATTTCAACAAATTTACAGTCAATACAGACGTTGCATCCACTGTGTCTGACATGTTTTCTCACTGAAACTTTTATTCAGTTTATGAAAGTGTTGTAAATTGAATCATTATATATTCTATCATAATTGTACAATAATTTTTGTACATGTACTTTTGTACATGCAACTTACAAATAAAAAAATACTATTACATATATTATTAAAATATATTACTAACTTTTATTGTATTTTGTACATGCAACTTAATAATAATAATGATAATAATAATAATAATAATAATAATAATAAATTACTACTACTACTCCTACTACTACTATTAAATATATTGTTAAAATATGCTATTATTGTACAATACTATCTCATTTTGTACATGCAACTTAAAAATAATACAAATCATCATCATCATCATCATCATCATCATCATTATTATATTAAAAATAAAAAAAATGATTACTTTCAACAAATTTAACTTCAAGACAGTAGTGCATCCATTGGAAACTTATGATTAAATAAAAAATATATATATATTTCCCACTCGCAATTATGGCTTTGTGGTGGCATTCGTGTGGACTCAACTCATAAATATGATCGTCTGACATGACTTGAACGCACCCTTAATATAATTTCAGTATGAGGGAGTGCATTTATATTAAACTTTTACATACAATACTTCAGATTAAAAAAAAAAAAAACTAATCCACAATTCCTGAAAATGTTTTTGCACAAACATACTGTATGCAAACCCAAATACATGCAAAAACAAGCAACCAGGTCTGACAAAACAAGCCCTAAACAAGTGACTTGCCTCTACAAAATAAGTCCAAATATTAGACTTTCACCCTCAAAAAACAAAAGCCATATTAATAAATGGCATTATTATTAAAAAAAAACAAGCCCAAAGACACTTATATCAAGCAGACAAGGCAACACTTCAGACACGGTTAGTGAATGTGACATTATCGTCAACTATACAATCGGCTTTACTGAGACATTATTGAGAACAATTTTGCTGGAGGTCATAAAGTCATAAAGTCACAAACAGCCACTTCTAATATCCACTGCTGTATTATAGTGAGAGCCAAACAATTACATCCACAGAAAAGTACATTCAAGAGGAAAAAGTCACTTTTAGTAGAAGGTAACTTCAAAAATTAAAGAAATGTTCACAGTTCATACGTTCATGTCATGTTGTTTGTGTAAATAAGAATTTACCCAAATGTCAGAGGTAAAAACAAGTTGACAGCTTGTGTGCTGTGCTTATTATTAAAGTCTATTGGGTATGTTTTGCACTTGAGATTTACATTGTAAGAGGGTTCCTGGTACATATTAAAACATATATATTTTCTGTGGAATTTAACTTGTATTTAACCCAGAATATTGTTTTAATGCTCACTAAGAGCCAATTGCAATTAAAAATAGTATTTGGCGAGTAATTAAAATGAAGATGGTATCTATGAGGCACTGAAGTATGCTATTTAAACAGCATCATAGGAACAAGTTTGACCCTCATTAACACCAGCAAATTGAATCAAAGAGATACAGTCAACTAAAGAGCAGTTCAGTGACTGCCAGTGACACAGCGGCATGCTACACATATGCAAAATAAAATAAAATAAATAATTTAACGGTGTTTAAAACAAATTTGCAATCCACCGCTGCGCTCACTTTCAAACTTTGTGGCTGTTTTGCATGTCTAACGGGGCCCGTTGCTTCACTTTATATCTGTGCACTTTCAAAGGAAGGACAAACGGCTGGCTGGATTTTCAAATGAAAAGTAGAGGAGAAAGACAGTCCCAGCGAGGCTGGTCCAGTGTCACTTGTAAAGTCAAAAGGCCTTTCTTAACAGTCAGGTAGGACAGGCAGAAAAGACACCACGAGCTTCCTCAACGAACCGGCTATCTGCGGCCGTGAAGGTGAATATATTTTATTATTCCTACCCATCAGATCCTACTGCAGCTCCATGTGACTGCTTCAGATGGCTCAAGACGATTGCTTTTGTGATGAACCTTGCCATACACCGGCTGACTAAAAGGAAAATATCAGAGCCGCTGCGCCGGGCGGGCATCTGTTTCCAGTCCCCTTCACTCCCAGGCCAACTCCTCAGGCTCAGACCGGAGTGTCATATGGTGTTAGGTTTACACCCTTGGGCCACCCGCCCGCTTGCTGATGAAAGATGCAGCACTTGACAGAGTCTGCACTTTAGCCATGTCTCCAATGTCAGGGGTCATCAAGGACACAGTAAGCGGCAGGAACGCACCGACATAATGTCACAACATGGCCTCTGACAGCTTTGATGCTCAATTAACATCCAACACCAACCACACAAATGCACACAGATGTACTAAATACAGCCACAGGGTTATTACAGTTAACTAAAACTAAAACCATAAAAAAATATATATATATTTTTTAATTATTTGAAATAAAATTAAATATCATTTTTTTTTTTCAGCTAGTTGCCAAGACAACATTTCACATTTTAATATAGTTAAGCCTGATTTACTAAAATAAATAAAACTGAAATAAAAAATAATTAAGAACTATATAGACATATTTAAAAATAAAATCAGAAACTACTAAAGAAAAAAGACAAAAACACACAACAAAATATCAAATAAAAATGATTAAAATTACACTAACAAGACATCACCGTTATAGGTGAACAAGGTGTATGTATGAAACTAAAGGTATAATGCATGCAAAAATGAACAATTAGTCATGTCCTTTCAGCTAAATATATATATATATATATATATATATATATGCCTC